GGGACAATAGCTTATTTTTTATAGTAGAGGGTAAATATGGCCCCTTTCCGTAAAATTAAGAGAAAAAGCGACGAGACATTCTCTTACGGCTACTAATTTAGCTATGAACAACCGGCAAAAAAAAAAAAAAAGAAGACCAATTTTACTCCTATAGAACAAATCTAAATTGGTCAGGAAAAGGGGAAGAGGGGGAAGGGGCTATGTGACTGTAAGCATAAACCACCCATAAGCAAAAAGAAAAGAAAATCAATTTAGATATTCGGGGACCCTAAGTTGCTCCGACAGGGCAGTTTAGCTGCCGCACTGTGTCGACACAACACTAGTATGATTGAGGGTATGGGATCTGTACCGGATCTGGTCAAACAATTTTGGTACTTTGACCATGACGGACGGAAAAATTCGAGAGTTTGATTCCCGAAATCAGAACCAAAACAAGGATAAAATTTGAAGAAAATAGCATATCTTATCTAGGAAATCATTCATTTACTTATCTACAACTTGAGAATAAAAAAGAAATCTACACTTTACAAGTTAGATATTTTTATATTTTTATTTTTTTTGTATTATCTTTAGTTGGATCCCCGCACCCGTATTCGTACTAAGATTCATATTCCCGAATCTTAGAATTTACATCTCGAAAGATCTGACCTCCAAATCTACACCCGTGCCGAATACCTGCACCCGTGTCCGAGTAACTCAACGGGGACATAAGTTTGTGTCTAAAAATTAAATATTGAACTTAACTCAAACTCAAAAGCTAGTCATACATGTGAGGTTCGTCCGATACCATATAAAGAGCCTATGGTGCATACCTTCAACCAATGTAGGACTCTAAGACTCCCAGCACGCCCATGGTTGGATATATGAAACGTGAATGACATAACATGGGTACCCAATATCGAGTAATCAAACATCAGGGGTGGGTCTGGCTTGAAAGCAAGCCAAGTCAAAAGGGCATTAGACCTAATTCAATCCGGAAAGCTATCTCATTCGGTTACATTCAACCAATGGGGACCTCTAATAGTTGGGAAAAAGCAAAAAGAGAGAGGGGTGGGCTTTCCAAAGAATTGGTTTGGCTGGAAATCATCCTATTGCGTGGTAAAATCTTGAAATAAATTATGGTTCTAGGTGAGTCAATGTTCCACTTATTATTTATTTATCATGTAATCACAACATAAAGGTAACTGAAGGAACTTGTGCTGCCCACAAGCAGGCCATCTTGACTCACAGCAACAACTTTTCTTTTGATTTCTCAGTTCACGGGTCTTAAACAAGAGATTGAGTCTATTCAAACTTCAGACCACAGGAATGTTAACATTTTTGTTTAAGATACTCAAATCATCTAATTTTGTCATGTACCTGGAGTACTGATTAAATAATTAAATATTGACCATGTACATCAAGTTTTAATTTTGACAATTACGTCAGACACTTTCCTAATAAGTCATTGACTCAATGTGAATAAGAAAAACGATATTAGTTTTTTTATCAAGCTTATGCCACAAGTTAACGAGACAGGTATAAAACTGTTACATACTTCGCTTCAGCACACAAAACAATTCAACCAGTGGCAGGGGTGTAGCAATGGACTTGCAGATGCAGCTTGGGGTTCAAACTCTCCAGTCTAAATGATTTCTTCCTCCATGCTAAATTTTTCTTCCGCCTTGTTCTCTTTTCTTTTGACAAATATCTAATCTAATGATTTCAGTATCTATCAAATCATCTGAAATTGTGCCTTTTATGTTATCTCCTTCTCTAAACTACTGGAGAGTTAATGTGTTGTCTGTGATGTACATAATTACCGCTAAATACAGGAAAGAAGACACCGCTAAATAGAACTCTACACTGAGTTATAAAGCAAACATTAATAATCAAGAGAACTCACTTGTTCGTGGCCCCGTATCTTAAGATAACCTCTCAGTAGTTCCCGTTTGTAATGACAGTCACCACTAAGATGGCCAGCTCTAATCTGCAATCAGTTACAAAGAATTTATGTTCTATAGTCAAAGACAACTCAAAAGTACATGATTTAGCATGAAAGAGAGGTTTTTAGAGCACAAACTTCACTACAAGCATGATGAGCACAATCAGACCATTCCAAGTTTGCAGCACGGCAGTCATCATATGCATGAATTAGCTCATGGATGACAACTTGATTCACCTCATCTTGAATGTTCATGTAGTTACTGCACACAATTATCTTAATAGCCAAAAAGAAACAAGATCAGTAAACACTCGGGTATGCAAGACAACCAAAACAATGAAGAAGACAAAGATAACCAAACGCACATAATGGAAGACAATAAGAAAATAAGAGGAACAATTACTAGAGCTGAAAATGACACTAAAAAGATCCATAACGCAAGAGTATTATGATGATTAGACTTGACATGGAGGACGATTACCAAATATCAACAATAATAGGGAAAATGGAAAAGTAAAATCGACACCATCAGTTTTTAATAGGTTTTGAATAATTATGGTTGATTACCCCGTGTCCGCGAACATAGCCGCCGCTGACCTTCTTGTCACAATGGATAGCTTTTATGAAGTTATCACCAATTCGACAACCAGATTTCTCCAAATGCTCCTTCAAAAACTTGACCATTGGAGCTGCAACAAAAATGCATATCAATTGACATCATTCAATCACGCTTCAATCTTAAACTAGTTTAGTCAGCTATATAAATTATCTTAATCCATTTTTCTCTATTCAAGTTCATTTCTTTCAATACTAAACAAATTTATCTCATAAAGCTTGTGCCTTATAACAATGGGGTCTGAGTCAGCTTGTCGCACCTATTCCACTAGATATTTGTGTCCTCCCATATGTTTTCACAATTTATCTTTTAAGATAAATTTACAAACTAGTCAAGTTAAGTAAAATAACAACAAGAACCACTATACCTCAATTTCAAACAAGTTGGGGTCGACTAGATGAATTTGCATTGATCATGTTACTCCGAATTTAAAACTAGTAAAGTGTAAAACCAAATACTAAGAATTAAAAATGCCTAAATGTTATTAAATAAATGTAGGACCCAAAGGTGTGGCCTAGTGTCAATAAAGTGGGTTGATAACCGTGAGATCTCGAGCTCAAATCTGCGCGGCAGCAAAAACACTACATGATGTCTTTCGATCTGTCTAGGCCTTGGTGAACAAAGTTATCCAGCACAGGTGGCAAGGTACCCGTGGAACTAGGGGAGGTGTGAGCAAGCTGGCTCACAAACAACAACAACAACATCAAACCCAGTGAAATCCCGAAGTGGGGTATGGGACAGTGTAGTGTGTACGCAGACCTTACCCCTACCTTACAAGGGTAGAGAAGTTGTTTCCGCGGCTGAGACGCCACAATTATCAAAAAAAAAAAAAAGGGGAGTGCGAATCTAAAATCCCAAGTAGAAAACTATTAGAGAAAGAGATGTAAATGTGAAACAACGTACTTCTAAGACTTCTTCGGATCATGTCTTGGCATTCCTCCACCGTACTTCCGCCGTTGACAGTGGATGTTTCCGCCATTTGGTTGCTCTTTTTCGCCGGCTACTTTCTGCAGAAGAGACAATAACAGGTTCATTGGAAAATTTACACCACGTACAACCTATAAAATACTTATTTACATTATAGCTCATATCCCACTTTTTTGCAAATTTCAAATCGATTATAACTTCTGCCAATTATAAAATTGTAATTACACTTAACATCCACTTTACCAATCCTATTTCCTTACTCTTCTTCTACAATCTCTGCTATCAATATACATTCATAAACCCTAAATTCTTCACTGGCGCCTGAGCGCTTACCTAGAAAATGAAGACTTAGTTGTTGTTGTCGCTGAATTTTGATTTTATTTTATGCTTTGTGGTTGGGGTTTATGGTGGTTTTATTATTTTTGGTCTATACTTTTAATTTTCATAAAAAGGGGAATTTTTACCTTTAAATATTTTAGACGAATACCTCATTATCTTTGATAACGAGTCATACTCGACGTGAAATTAAGTCGTTTGGTATGCGCGATAAGGTGGGATACCATGTAGGATTAAATTTATCTAATGATAAATTTATACCGTCAATCAAATATGATATAAATGTAATCTCGGTCTTAATACATGATATCACACATTATCCCATCAAACTTGAGATTATATTATCACACGTCCCAGATAGAATAAATTAGTCCGAAAATTATAATCCCGGAATAATTTAAAGATTTTGGACGGGTGGCTTTCGGATACCAAATGTTTATTCATATTACATTTGGTTGTCTAACTGTGTATTCCTTCTTGATTCTTCTTAATATACAATGTGTATCTTGCGCTAACTTTTAATGTAGTCATACAAGATTAGAAGATCATATTGGCCGAAAAGTGCAAGTGGCACACATTGAGTATGAATGAGATGGTTTGGTCATGTCTTGCATCGCCTATAGGTGCATGAGTTTATAGGTGTCAAACTAAGGTGAATGAAGGTATTAAAAAGGAACGAGGTAGGCTTAAAATCAAATGGAAAAAAGTTATCTCGAAAGACCTAGAAATCCTTGAAATCAATACAGGCTTACCTAAAAATAGGATACAATGGAAAAAAATATCCATGTAGGTGATACTTATTAGTTATGAATAGGCTTTAAATTTATTAGAGAACTTGTAACATCATTACTATTATTATTATTATTTTATTTTGGTCTAATGATGATGTCAGTTGAGCTTAAAGAAAGAAGTAAGATTCATATTGTCGACCCCACTTTTATTTGTGGAGACATAGTAATTGTTGTATTTTACCCCAACTTTAGTTTTTTAATTTCTTCTTTAGATGCAAATGATTATTTGTTCTAATTGTGTATTTTTTTTTTCTCTCCTATCAAATCTATAAAAAACCTGAGTGGAACTCTTTTATTTTTAATAAAACACAACAAAAAAAAGTCAAAATATTAGATCCTCTGTATTTTATTTTTCTTCTTAGGTGAAATGACTAATGATTCAAATTGTGTATTTTTTTTTCCCGGTCAAATATATAAAAATTTGATTGCAACTCCATTATATTTACATAAATAAACAAAATTCAGCGGAAATAATGGCATTACAAAGCAATGGCTAATTATTGGAGATGTGAGCAAGTTTTCTGGATGGTATTAGCCATTGTGATTTGCAACTTTCCTACATGAGACCAATTTTGTTATCCATTGAAATATAAGAAGAATTATAGGATTTATGAAGCTCGTGCACAAAAATATTGCCCATAAAGAGAAAGATAACCGATTCTCCTGGCTAGCCGAGTGTGTTATGTAAAAGGACCGAGGATAATCCTATCCTAAAGGAGGAGAAGTAGGAGTGTTATTTAAAAGGACCGAGGAGGATCCTATCCTCAAGCAGGAGAAGTAGGAGCTAGCTTTATAAGTGAAATTAAATGATTACGAGATAAATAATGAGAAAAAAGAAAGCACTTGGGTACAAACAACGTCACAGTTATTCCATTCCCTCTGTACTACATTTGATGGAGGAAAAGTTGATGTCATTACAAATACAATTTTTCCATTAGAAACCCTAATTACCATGCGTAGGTCTACAATCTAATATCTATCAGTTATTCCAAAACATCTCTAACTATATGGCAAGTAAAATAGCACATTTTGAATACACTTAAAAAGTTTTTGTAACAATGGTGTCTAAACAATCTCGTGCACACCTCAATATTCTATATATTACCTCATTTAACCGTCAATGCTATGGCAAATAAAAAGATACCGCATAGTACTTGTCTCTATTAGGATTTGAACCCTGCTCCGACAAAAAAAAAGGCAGCCTGGTGCACTAGGCTCCCACTATGCGCGGGGTCCGGGGAAGGGCCTGACCATTCCGACACAATTTTCACCAATATCATTGATGGTAATTACAGAGGCGGACCCAGGATTTGAGCATGACGGGGGCACCATTGTCTTAAACATGCAAAATTTTCAAAGGTAGGTCCATTTTTTTCCGAGGCTAACGGGTTCCGGTGACCCCCTAACCCTAAGGTAGGTCCGCCTCTGAAGGAAAAGCAAAATTTTGATACCAACTTACTTTGCTAAGTTAATATTTTCAAAAGAAAGAAAAAACTTACTCTAGTAAAATCAAGATTTTACTCAAAGAAACTTACAATATCAGTTGAAGTAGAGCTTCAATCCAGTAGCCGCCGGCGATTCGGACTGCCGGTCGCCGGATTTGAGCTCGAGCAGAAGCGGAAAAGGGTTGATTGAAAAAAGGGTTTTGTTTATTAGCTAAAGGGTTTAGGCGTCAGTTTGGAGAAGAGAGGAGGCGTTGGTTTTGTTTTTTTAGTTTGGAAAAGGATAAAAGTTAAGACTTTAGGTTAACTATTGTGTACAAGTATTAAAGAATTCAAAAAAATAAAATAAAAAACTACTTGACTAAAATAATTTGTTTTTAAAAAAAGAAGGTTTCGAACCCGAATCCTTAAAGTAACTGAAGTGCAGCTACAAAACCAACGCGTCTACCTTGCTTTTGTCTACTAGAGGGGACAGATAAATTATTTAACGGGTCCCCGGTGTATTATCTATACTATATTAAAAGCATGAAGCCCTAAGCGAAATGTCGTTCGCCTTTTAATACCCTATAAAAATTAATTTCACACTAGACAAAATAGTCATTAATTATTTCTCTACTTCTTAGGACTTTGAAATCATCTAATAATTTACTTATTATTTTTTCCTTATTTGAATTATGCGAAAGTCCTTAAGTTAACAAATTACCGTCCAAAGCAAAGTACTTAAATCAAAACTACTAAGTTACCGTCCAAAGCAAAGTAAACCTCTTTTGTTAAAAATCCTTCAAAATTTTATAAGTAAAAAAAAAAAGGAGTTTGAATTGGATATTGCCAATATTTAAAACGTAAAAATAAACTTATATTTAGGATTCTAAATTCATATTTTACCAGTTTTACTTTCTTTTTTTACCAAAGCAAATATTTACAAATTATTTCCAGCTAAAAAATATGAATAGTTCATAATAGCAAGTAATATAAAACTGAATTTGCATTGGAATAAAAGATCTTAAACTTTCAGTTGTAGCTAAATTCGAATATGTCAAGCCTTTACCGGAAGATAAAATTAATCTGTACAATTAGGATACACTCTATTTTTACTATTTCTTTTTTATTAATTCTAAGCATCTAAGAAAATCATTTCATCATCTGAATATTGTTGGATGTCTACAGTAAAATAATGATAAGCATTAATTTTCTACTTTAAGGTTGTGTATAATAAACCATTATGGTCCGGCCCTACCTCGAACCCCCCGCATAGCAGGAGTTTAATGCACTGGACTGTTCTTTTATTTATTTTTTATCTTAAATTTTTTATGATTATTTTATTTCGATCTAGAAATAAATTTAGTTGGATTTGTATATTATCACCCAATTAAATTCTTCGTATGATAACTAAACTAACAATATGAAATCTCTTTTTATTTTTTCGTACAATTTGAGTTCCAACAGGAATAAGATGAAGTTCGTATTAGGTTCTTGAGCAAATACAATTCATATTTCTAAGACAATGGAGAACATAGTATTGTCTCATTATATTTAAGTACAAGTCAACATACTATATATTAGATTATAAGCTACTAAAGCAAATGCATATTGAAGTTATAATAAAGCTTTAGCTTTCTTTTGTGTGGCATAGAGGGTATTTGGCTAAGCTTATAGGCTGGTCCAACTGGCTTATAAGCACTTTTTGGCTTATCTACCCGTTTGGTAAAATTAGAAGTGCTTATAAGCCAAAAATAAGCCAAAAGTCATAAGTTGGTCTCCCCCAACTTATCAAATTTCAGCTTATAAGCAGTTTAAGTTTGACCAAAATATTTACTGTTTTATCCCTAAAATACTTTTTTTTAAAACAAAACTCTTCGTATACCCAGTTCTTCAGCTGCATATTATTGATTTCAGCACTTTTATCCAAACACGTAACTGCTTATTTTTTAAATCAGCTTCAGCACTTAAAAGTGCTTTTCAGCACATAATGCTTATCAGCTACTCTAAATCAGCTAAGCCAAACTATAGAGGTGGGCGTTCGGGCAGTTCGGATTAAATATAGAATTTCGGTTTGGATTTTCGGTTTTCGGATTGAAGAAATGACAATCCAAATCCAATCCAAATAAGCTCGGATTGGAACGGATTTTTTAAGTTCGGTTTCGGATTAATCGGGTTGGATATTTTGAATTTTTGGTTTTGAGCTTATAAGTTGATATGTTTCTTCTTTTTACAAAAATGAATATCCAAATGAAGTGCTCATATTAAATTGCCTGAAAAGTTACTCATTCTCACCACAATCATTCAAATAAAGTATTCAAGTAACGAAATTACTATCAAGAAAATGCAATAGAGATATTAATACGGGCGGTAAGAAGTAATAATAGTAAAACCATGTCCAAATAGAAAGTATTGTGACAATAACTTAGTAATTAATATTGCATATATGAAATAATATCTAATGGATAGGGTATTTAACTTATTATTGTTGACATATAGATAATGGACTAAATATAAAGTATAAAATTTTTGAATTCTCGGATATCAAAAAGTTCAGAGTACCAAATCCAACATCCAATCCGAAATTCAAAAAATTTAAAAATTAAATCCAAAATCCAATCCGTAATCCGAAAATCTAAACCAAAAATCTAAAAAATTCGGATTTCGGTTTGAATTTCGGGTTTGCCCAAACTATGCCCACCCCTCAGGCTCATAATTTTTTTTACCTATTAAATTGGATAAATATGATCAATATTAATTATTTTTCAGAGTTTATATTCTTAAAATAATATTCAATAACTCAACTACATGGTTTAATAGCATTTGCGTAATTTTAAAAAATTTATGCTTATTAATATAGAGTACACTCGCAACGCGCGTATCCTAAAACTAGTACTATATTAAAAGCACGAAGGCCCTTAGCGAAATGTCGTTCGCCTTTTTTACCCTTTAAAAATAAAGCTCACACTGGATAAAATAGTCATTTAACTATTTTTCTAATATTTAAAAATAGTCATTTAATTAATTCCCTAACATTTAGGAGTTTGTATAATAAATTTTTTACTTATTTGAATTGTATTAAATATTCTGATTTAAAACTTTAAAATCATTAATATTTTACCTTATATAAATTTTATACTTAAATCATATATAAATAATAAATAAAATAAATAAATGAGAGAGTAAGAACATTAAAGAAAGAGGAAGTACGTTTGGCTTTGGATAATATGGAAGTGGTCGACTTTTTTAAAACTTGTATATGTTCTGATTTTTGTGAAAATCTTCTATATTAAAATATTTAAAAATATACAGGAGGCTATTCCACTAACAATTGTATTCTGAGTTATATTAGTTTTCAAAGCTTTTAAATTAGCAATCTGCTATGAACAATAAAAGAAGAAGAAGAATATTGCAGAGAAAAGTAGAGAGAGAGAATTTTTATTGATTTGGGATGAATTACAATGGAATAGAACCCTCTATTTATAGGGAGAGGGTGACTTAGCCACGAAGTAATAAACCCTAGAATCTCTCTAAATATAGACATTCACCATAAATAAAATTCTATTTATAACACTCCCCCTTGAATGTCTATTCAACAGATAATGTGCCTCGTTAAAACCTTAACTAAAATAAAACCCAATGGGAAAAAAAATTCTAGAGAAGGAAAAAGAGTACACATATCTAACAATACGCCTTTTGGTTGCCTCGTTAAAAACCTTGCAAGGAAACCAGTGGGACAAAACCTTGTAAGGGAAAAAGAGTACAACGCGTATTAACTCCCCCTCATGAGAGCATCACTTTCACATCCTTAAGCATTTGCATTTCAATCTTGTGCACCATCTTCAAAAGATCTTTGGTAGATATTTGATAAACAAATCAGCCATATTAACTTGAATGAATATATTGCACCTTGAAATCATCATTCTTGATAGAGATGAATTGTCTTCATATGATCTTGTTGGAATCGTCAGTTCAATATCTTCACATAGAGGTGAAAAACTCTTGGTATCATATTATCATGCCTATAGTTATAGCAAGATACATTTGTGCACAAATTGCACTGAGGAAGTAGTACTTCAAGATCAAGAATTGTATATGCTTCAAGCGATTTAAATCCTTCAAGGATTTTTAAGTCATATAAGCCATATGATAGACTTTAGATGCATATCAAGTTTTCATGTCATGCTAGATATATAAGATATCGAAAACTGATTGCACATACCATTGACTTTATACTTTCAAGTGTTTGAACTACATGTTCAAAACTACATGTCTTTCATATGAAACCAATTCTATTCGAATTGTTTCTTCAGACTTAAGATCCTCATATATATATTTAGCGCTATCATAGATGTCGTCGAC